ACATATCTCCACATTTCAATGGCCTTTTGGTCAAACGTATGAGCGACTTGGGTCAAACTCTTTTCAATGTTTCCAAGACATTTGTCTAGACTCTTGCCGATTTCAAGACCATTGTCTCACTGTGTTGTTGCTATTAGCATCAAGAAAACACACAAAAAAAGTATTCACATTTTTAAAAATGTCATTGTAGGTTTTATCAAGTTTTTATAATTTTGTGTTATCAGTTATATATGTAGCACTGTTAAAAATAGGATTAGAAAATATAAAATATCACCAGTCTTCAAAAATATAGTTTCAACATTTTCTGATTAGTCAGCCAAAAAATAATTTATTAATTTCAAGTTATTCCACAACTTTATTATTGTTTTATCTCGTTATTCTACTATTTATTTGACATACTAGTTATCAATGACTTATTCTTAAGACTGTTTCTTAGGATTTGCAGTCTAGTATGAAATATTGGTTATTGGTTATTTATGTATATCAGAATTTGAATTAGTGGTCAAATTATCGATGAGCTATATACAAATATACAATACTTGCTCGAGATTAATGATTGTGATTAGAAATGTCATGATGGAATAATCCAGTTCTGATCCTAACTAATCTTGCCTATGGATCTTAATATTAATTATATATAGTGCAAGCTCAACGTTGTAGTCATGCTAGCTAGCTCATTGTTAATCCAAAAATCAAAACATAAACTTAACGGATCTAACAGGTTTTACGTGGCTTACGTGGCTCGTTAAAGGGGTTATTAGAGCATATTTGATATTTGATTTCTTTTTCAAAACATAAAAAAGGTGATCTGGTAGTATCGACAAGGCCAAATTGATCTACAAGTTTTTGGTCCAAACACTTATATTGATTGCAATTGACTTGTGTTTGAAGTTTTTTTTTTTTTAAAGAGCAAGATACGACTGGATAATTTCAGAACATTACAAATTTGGTTAATCTGAGCACATCAAAATCAGTCACATGAATCAACGCAATTCAACTAAGCAAATGTTATGCCAAAATGAAACATCAACCAAAAAAACCAAGCACAA